GAGATCTACTAATCTAATAAATTAATGTTTTGTTTGAACAAAATAACTCTGGTGTAAATTAGATTAAAAATACGTTAAATAAAAATTGGGTGTCCAAGGCAGAAGAATGAAACTAGACCCCTACCTTCCACAAGTTAAAAAAAGTAACTCAAAATTAACTATAGATTTAAATATAAGCCCTGAAACTACTAGAAGGAAAAGAGAAAACCCTTCAGGAGATTGGCATAGACAAAGACTTTTTGGAAAAGACCTCCAAAACACAGAAAACAGAAGCAAAAATAAAAAATGGTATAACATCAAATGCAAAAGATTTGAAGGAGCAAAGGAAACAATCAACAGTGTGAAATCACAACCTACAGAATGAGAGAAAATATTTGCAAACTACACATCTGATAAAGGGTTGATATTCAAAAAATTTAAGGAACTAAAAACTCAATAGCAAAAAAAACAAATAACTCAGTTAAAAATAGGCAATAGACCTTAACAGACAAATGGCCAACACAAATTTGAAAAAATACTCAACATCATTAATCATCAGGGAAATACAGATGAAAACCACATTAAGATATCACTGCACTCCAGTAGGAATACCTGTTATCAAAAACACTAAAGATAACAAGTCCTGAATAGGAATGTGGAATAAAGGGAACCCTTGCACACTGTTTGTGGAAATGTAAATAGTAGAGTGACAGTGGAAAACAGTATACAATTGCCTCAAAAAATTAAAAATACAACTACCATATGATTCAGCAATCCCACTACTGACTATACACCCAATGAAATGAAATCAGTAGGTCAAAGACACATCAGCATGATGAAGACACATCCCACATTCCTTGCAGCACTATTCACAATAGCCAAGAACTGATAACAACCTATGTAACCAAATTAATAGATAAAGAAAAATTTGGTATATATACACAATGAAATAGTCTTCAGCAACTAAAAATTATAAAATGCTATCATTTGCAACAAATGGATATAAGTGGAGATCACTATAAGTGAAATAAGCAAGGTACAGAATGATGAGTACCATACAATCTCGCTCATACATGATATATAAATAAAATTTGATCTCACAGAAATTGAAAATATAATGGTAATTACAAGAGACTGGGAAAGTAGCAGGGAGGAATAGGGAAAGTTTTATTAATAGGAATTAAGCGGAACCTAGAGAGGAGTAAGAAGTTCTGGCATGCCACTACACCATAGGGTAACTACCAATAATGACTGTGTACTGCATCTCCCCCCCACCCCGCCAAAATAAAAGGATTTTGAAAGCTTTTGTCAAACAGAAGCAATAAATGAGAAGATAGGCATGTTTAATTTTATTATACAATGTATACATGTATCAAAAGATCGCATGGTGCCCCATTAATATATACGATTTTTAATACTTTTTGCATTGGCTAAATAATAAGTTTAAGATTTTAAAAAGTGTATGAGACAAGGTTTATTTGGTAGGCTTATCCAGAAACATGGTTTATGTTTGGTTTCATTTTTTACATGCATTAAATGTTAACATAAAATTTCTGAACAGTATTTTCTGAAATATTAATGTAATGCCTTAAGATACATATTAACGGGGCTGAATAACTTTTTTTTAAGAGAGAGAGAGAGAGAGAGATAATTTTTTTAATATTTATTGTTTTTTTAGTTTTTTTGATGGACACAACATCTTTATTTTACTTTTATGAGGTGCTGAGGATCGAACCCAGTGCCCTGCGCATGCACTACCACTTGAGCCACATCACCAGCCCAACTGAACAACTTTTTTAAAGAGACAGAATCTTGCTATGTTGCCCAGGATAGCCCTAAACTCTTGGACTCAAACAATCCTCCTGCCTCAGTCTCTTTAATAACTGGGACCATAGGTGCACACCAATGCAACTCACTTAAACAGATATTTAATTGAATGAATTAATGTTATTTTGAAGAACAGTAACAATTCAAATGTCTTATCCATCAGCCCTTGAAAATAAATGTGTATTTCCCTTTCCAATTGCCAGTTTTTCGGCCAAACAGCTTCCAGTCCCATTGAAGATTAAAGTAGGGGAATATTCATCATATGTATTGCTGAGTTGGTATAGGCACTTCCTCAGAGGAACCCAGCTTCCACTTTAATTGATGGGCTCTAGAAATCAAGGTCCAGGTCAGATCCACAGAGTGAAGGTCTTAGTTTTCCACTAGGGCAGCTGATATCAATGTTCTACTTACTGGCTAGTAGTTTGGACTTTTTCCTGGTGATAAAACTAAATAATAATCTAATTTGCTAGACATTTTCCTCATCCTTTAGAACTCTTAGTCATTACCATAAATCCCTGCCAACCAAGACCTTCTGGTGGCCATCTATCAAGGTAATTATACCTATATTTAAGAGTTAAATACTATCACCTAGTCTCTACTCTTCTGAAATCCTGACATATCCTTTGACACTAGGGCAACATATTCTACTATACATTAGTAAAGAGAATAGCCACAGCGGAGTTTCAAAGACTATGGAGTTCCCCTTACTATTGCACTCACTCCCCATTGTCCTAATGAAGAAAATACCTGAAAGACCTTTCAGAAAATATAGTTATTTAATGGGTCTGATGGTTTGAATGTTCCTACCAAAATTCATGGTGAGATTTAATCTCCATTGTGAAGTATTAAGAAATGGGACCCTTAAGAGATGATTAGGTCATAAAGGCTCTGCCCTCATGAATGGATTAATCCATTTGTGGATTAACAGATCAATAGGTTAATGTATTATCTCAAGAGTGAGTCTGTTACAAAAACCAGTTTGGATCTGTCTCTTGTATGTTCCTTCCACTTTGACCATGTTATGCCCTGTGCCATCCTGAAACTCTGCAGAGAGTCCCCACAAACAAGAAGGTCCTCACATTATGTGTCCCTTCAACCTTGGACCTCCAAGTCTCCAGAGTCATGAATTGAACAAACCTTTATTATTTAAAAATTCCACAGTAGGGGCAGAGGATGCTCTGGAAGAGGACAAACATCTTATGAAACATAACCTTCATGTAAAACTTTGCATTGTATACAGAGAACGGGAAGTTGCTCTATTCTAGCAAAAGTCAAAGACTCTTCTTCCAACTAGTATTTTTCATAAGAAGCTGAAGATTCCAAGTTTTGAAGTCATACTCAGGAGCATCCCCGTTAAAGGTCTCAAAGTCCTATTCTTCTTTTCAGGCAGACTTTGGCATAAAAAATCTGTCATGACTGAGGCTTTAGTTTAATTTATGATTAAATTCTGGGCATGATTAGCAACAAATTCTGCCCTCTGGCTGCAGAAGATGAAAATCTTTAAATGCTATCATTGAAGACCTGCTGATATTCACAGCATGCCCTTAGTTAATGAAAATCTCTTTCTTTAAGGCTTTTCAGCAGCTAACAAAAGCCAGCCAAGTTTACAGCCTTTATGATTAGTAACCCTCATACTTTTCAAGTGTTAAAGCTACTACATAAACACTAGTGCTTTTTCAAACTATGTGTTATTATCCCAAGTGACCACACTTAAGATTCTCAATAATTATGATACTACAGCACATTGGAATAATTTGTGGACAGCAGTGACTTAAACCATGGTCTCTGACTGCCTCTTGGCTGTGTTTGCACCAAGGTGCAGATCAGGATGGCCCAGTTGCTATGGTGATGCTGGCCTGAGGAGGCTCCCTGCAAAGGCCTAGAGCTGTATCAGTCAGGACCTTGAGCTCTATCCCAGGGATAGAGAATTCTGAGCATAACAAGTGACCCTAATGTCTCACCGGTCCTGCATCCTTCAGATTGCCTGCTTTGCCGAAACTTTCCCTCAAATAGCCTTTTCATGGAAACTATATAATAAACATGCTGAACTAGCTCTGAGTCATTCATCCCCCATCACTGATATTCCATTTATCTCCTCTTTATAAAAATGTACTCTTGTCATTCAGAAATACATATTTTCTAAACTTCATATATACGTAAACCAATGTAACTCTCCATTATATAAGATTATAAGCTAATGAATTAAAATACTGGTTGTTTTTTTTTTTAAATCTAAAAACAAAAATGTTACTAATACACCACATTAAGAAAGGAATACTATTATGGATGGTTATATGGTTATATAATGCATGTAAAATTTCAGTAAAAATTGTATTTATTATTATGGTAGAAACTCATATATTTATCAATATATAGTACTGTGACTACAGTACTGCTCATATGGTATACAGAAATTATTTTCATTGCTGCATACTATATCCAACCAATACAGAATTTGGTCAAGAGAAACAACGTTGTTTATGACCAAAACCTGATACATAATTTGAGAGAATGGGGGAGGACAATAAAGAATGTAAATGTAGGGTTCTTGATAAACATTTCTTAAGAATTTAAAGATGGTGATGGCAGAACATTAAACCAAGTGCGATGTCTAAGCACAGGACTATGCAGATTCACAGACCACACACCCATAAAGTTGGCTCTGTTTATGACAATCAGGTTTTAGTGTTGCAAAATAGTGGAGGCATCCTTCTGACTTAGAGCATATGACTGATTTAGATCCACTGATTTAAAACAAAACTGCCTTCCTTAGTAGGAACTGCCCTAAGAGCTAAAATGCATTGACCTCACTTTTAACTTCAAACACTATGGAGAAGGCAAAAAAAAAAAAAAGAAAGAAAGAAAGAAGTGATTGTGTTCACCTGCTCTAAATTAGAAAACCCCTGATCCTTGAGTGGCTAATCAAAGACATAATCATCCTACTTGAAACATTTATGATAATTCTAGAGCAACAATATATTTGCTTTAAATAAAAATAAAATATTTTCTGGGGTTAACACATTCTTTAAATATAACTTTTTGTGTATTAATAATTTTGAAGATTTCTTTATTGTTTTCCTATAATCATATATTTGTTACAGTTGAAATATGATTTTTTCAAATATATGTGACATAAACGTATTCTATAACACAAATTCAATCCATATAAGTTCTAAGAAATCATCTGTACTTACAATTGGCACTGATCACCTTTTATTCCTTTAGTCGTGCAGAAACATTTTCCTGTGTGCAGATGACAAATATTTGCATGGCCACTGCATGTACAGGCTGTAAATCAAAACCAAAATGATACTGAGTATTCTACAACACAAACATGCAATGATATTTCAGGGACGTTATTATTATTACCTGATTTTTATATAAGGTTGTTTTCTCATGCCATCCCATAAACAAGACTGCCATATAAGTTATTTTTATCTATAAGGATCTAATTCTGCTTATTTAAAAATTCTGTAAAACTCTTCAAAAATCTTTGGTGGTATCTTGGATCTACTATGGATCCAAGTATTTCTCTAACTCTAGGCCACTTTCCATTTTTGATTTGGTACATCTACTTAATGAAATGAGTTTCAAGAATTATAGCAAAAACTTCAGAATAAACAGCTTAACTTCAGAATGTATTCTACAATCCCAATGTGACCTTAGAAAATTTACTTAACCTTTCTAGGCTTAGTTTCTTCAACTACAAAAGGAAAATAATAGTACTTAGTTCTCAGGATTGACATGAGATTTAAATGAGATAATATTTTAAAATAATTGACATATCCAGCTCTTGATAAATGCTGCTATTACTTCTACTATTTTTACTACTCTAAACAATAACAAAATATAGCCACATATTTTATAAATAGGTATGCTTTTTTTGCCCTAAAATCATTCTTCAAAGCTTCTGAGATCATTTCCAGTATAATTATTTCAGCATATTAAATGAAATATTGCATTGCATAATGGTTGCTCATGATCAATTTGCATATGAACTCAATTGAGCAGTAATCTGATTATTCACAAACCTCACATTGTATTTTGCCAATCAGTTGTAGACTCTAATTTCTACACACACCATCTCTCTTGCATATGACCCCTCCTTTTCATTCTGACAGACACCATTCGGGTATTGCCATCCACTATCTCTTACTGGCACAAACACAACCATATGTCAGAACTATCTTCAGTTTTTTAAATATTTTTTAGTTATCAGTAAACCTTTATTTTATTTATTTATATGTGGTGCTAAGGATTGGACCCAGTGCCTCACACTTGCTAGGAAAGTGCTCTGCCACTGAGTCACAACCCCAGCCCTATCTTCAGTTTTTCTAAGTTACCATTTATACTCCAAATGATATATTCTAAAGAGACAAAGCTGATCATGTCAATAGCCCTTTCAAAAACCCTTATTGGAAACTTGTACACCATTAACTACCTAAACCAATCAACTGATAAAAACAAAATAATACGGACTAGACAAACATGTGAAAATGAGCTGCTGATTCAAATTTTTCCAATATTCAACTTTTTGTTATTTTTTTCTTAAATATCAATAGAACTCCAATGTGTATGCTAATGGTTAGCAACTGCAAAAAAAAATCAGATAATCATATCAGTATTTTGACCAATTCTCCAAAACACAATGAATCTTGCATACCAAACCACAGTTAAGTACAAGACCAATTTGAATATTTTCCAAGGAGGAGACTAAAACAATAGTTAGAGTTTATCAACCTGGTGTGTGTGTGTGAGTGTGTGTGTTCTTCTTTCTTGTATTCTTTTTAATTATGATATAACACCAAGATATACCTTGACATGATCACAAAAACATGAACTCAAGAAAGGAAGATTTGCTAAGAATTAGAAAAAGTCATTTCAGAGTTATAAGTGGGATAGACCTCCCAAGAAAGTGGCTACCTGTCCTCTTACAAAGCCTAATGAGGGACTTCACATGAGTTCTTTGAAGAGCTTGAAGTTATCCCCTAGAATCCAGTGGCATATTGGAGGGGAATCTGAATTAATTGGGTAGGAGTAGCTATGGCTGTTAACTGAAGTGGCAGGACAGATGGGAAGGGCTATCTTGAGGAAGTTATTAGCAGTCTAGCTGAGATCAAGAAAAATAATGTATGTTCTTCCTCTAGCCAAACTGGGACTGCTGAAAATTCCAAGACTGCCTGGGAGCATTAGCAGTCTCCAGCAGAAAAAGCTGAGGAGAAAGCTGTGAGTGCAAGAAGAAAGCATGTATCACTGTCATCATGAGAACTGTACGTGGACAGGCCAAGCTCTGAAGAGCCTCAAGAGATACCTATTCATGTCACATATTTGAGGAAGGATCAGCCACAAATGACAGCTATCCATCCCACATAAGACTACACAATTTTCTCCTCTCCCCTACAAAAATTAAAAAAAAAAAATTAAAAGCTGGGGATGAAACTCAGTGAAAGAACACATGCTTTTAAATGTTGTTAGATCTGCTTTGCATTTATACACAGTAAATGCATGTAGTTTAAAGTGCAGTAAAACAAAATTTAACAAATTTTTTACACACAAGTAACCCTAACCACAATCAAGATACACATTTCCATTGTTCCCGAAGGTTTTCTTATGCCCCTTCCCTGTGGCTTCCCTATTTACCCCTCACTTTAGCTGAAAACCAGATATAAAGCATTGAAAATTTTACTCTTTAAGGCCATAATCAACATTCTAAGCTTTGTGGGGCACATGTGGTTCGAAAGTAGTCATGTATAAGATTTAAACAACAAATAAAGCTATGTTCCAATAAAACTTCTTTTATAGAAATAGAAATTTAAATTTTGTATAATTTTCACTTTATGAAATTTCATGTTTTTTTAGCCATTTAAAATTTTTAAAATTTAAGCTTACAGGCTACACAAAATCATAATGCAAACTATATTTGGCTTGTGGGCTATAGTTTGATGATCTTCAGTAGAGATTATATTTGTTATAAAGTTTTGCATGAAGAGAATCACAAAGTTAGAATATTTGTTTCTAGCTTCTTCACTCGATGTTTTTACTTTGTGTGTCAGTAATTTATCCGTTCTTATGCAATTTAAAATTTATTTATTTAAAAATGCTTCAAAAATTAGAAATAGAGGGAATTTCCTGTACCAGATAAAGGACATTTTTTAATAAAACCCACAGGTAACATCATGCTTGATAATGAAAGATTGCATTCTCTTCCTAGTATCAGGAACAAGATAGAGGTGTCTGCTTTTCCTACTTATTTTTATCATTGTACTGAATATTCTAGTCAAGATAAAAACAGAAACAAAAGTTAGCCAAATTTGAAAGGAAGAAGTAAAGCCATCACTATTCACAGATGAAATGATCTTATAAATCCAAAAAAATCAATATAAAAAAGTTATAACTAATAAACTAAATAAGGCAAGGTTATAGGTCATAAAATCAGTATACAAAAACCTAGTATTTCTAGATGCTATGAACTAACAATATGAAAATAAAATTAAGAAGACAATTCCATTTAAAATAGCATCAACAAAAATAAAATCATTGGACTCAGCAATGAGGATTTGCCTAGCATGCATAGAGCCCCAGTGCTACAAAAAATTAAATCAATTGATTATTTTTGTGTGTGTGTGTGGTACTAGGAATTGAACCCAGGGCCTTGTGCATGCAAGGCAAGCACTCTACTAACTAAGCTACATCCCCAGCCCAAACTTTTAAGACATAATTGAAGGAAAGAAGTGCAAAACATGTATCCTGAAAACTAAAATACTGTTGGAAGAAGACAATATAAAAAAATTGAGATATCTTCTTTTCATGTAGGAAGAATTAATATTGGTAAAAGTATTGACAAATTTGATCTACAGATACAATGTAATCCCTACCAGAAACTTAATGAGAACTCTTTTCAGAAATTGACAAGTTAGTGCTAAAATTCATATATAATTACAAGGAGCTTCATATAGCCAAAACAATATTTAAAAGAGGAATCAAGTTGGAGGACTCAGACATCTTAATTTCAAGCATTAGTCTTAATTTCAAATATTACTTCAAAGTTATAATAATAAACATATATGAGTTGGGCACACTGATACACACATGCAATTAATTTTATCCAGCTACTCAGGAGGCTGAGGAGGAGCCCTATAAGGCCAGCCTTGGCAACTTAGCAAGTCCATGTCTCAAAATAAAATTTGAAAAAGGTCTTAGTGGTTGTGCACTTGCCTAGCATGTACAAGGCCCTGATTTGAATTCCCAGTATTGCAAAACGCACATGCACGTGCATGCTCATGTACACACACAGATATGCACACATACATATAATACAGGCATAAATACAAAATGCATATCAATGGGATAGAATTGAGAATCCCCCCCCAAAAAAAACAATTAAATGTATGATGCCGGGAAAAAATAGATAAGGATGTGCAGAAGAATAGAATTGAATTTCTACTTCACACCACACACAAAAATCCACTCAAAATGACTAAGAGTCCTAAAAACAGGTGCTAAATTATAAAATTATAAAGTCCTTAAAAAGGAAAACATACAAATAAATCTTTGTGACACTGATTTAGATAATAGTTTTTACAGAACAAACACACATATAAAACACACATATAAGAAAGAAAAAGAAAAAATTGAACTTCATCAATATTAATAAATTTTGCGCTGTAGGGGACACCATCAATAAAGTAAAAAGACAATAGATAAGGAGGGAATATTTGTAAATCTTGTCTTATTTTATCTAGAATATAAAGAAAATTTCAATTCAATAATAATAAGATGAATTGCTCATCTTAAAAATCCAACAAGAATCTGAATAGACAAGCTCAGAAAAAGATAAGTCAACATATTGTACATTAGAGAAAAGCAAATCAAAACTCCCCATTAGATACCACTTAACACTTCCTAGGATGATTACAATTTTAAAAAGGCTGAGAAGAATAACCGTGTGAATGTGAAGAAACTGGAACTCATGTGAATTGTTATCTGAAATATAATCTGGTACAGCTGCTCCTATAAAGAGTTTGGCAATTAATAAAAATATTAAATATAGAAATATAGCAGACCTACTTTTAGATACATACTCAAGAGATATAAAAAATGTATTTCCATACTAAAATTTAACATGAATGTTCACAGCAATGTTATTCATAATAGCCAAAGGGAGAAACAGCCCAAATGCCCATTAACTGATAAATGGAAAAATACAATATGGTGGTATCCTAATAACTAACTATTATTTGGCAATGGAAAAGTGAATAAAGAGATGGTATATGCTAGTATATGAATGA